GCTTTGTTCCGAAGGTTTTATGCCGACTTTTCTTTTTACTCCCATATAGATTGCATTTTTCTGCAGGGTGCAGTCTTAATACAAAAAACCTGGAGTTACTTGTTCGGTTTCAGTTCAACTCTTAACACGAAATCTACATTTGGAAGACCAAACCGTGTTGAGTGTGACGTAATTTAGCATTCACTTCAATGTAGTTCCACTAAAATGTGGCCGGTAAGTCCAAACTTCTCTCTCTTCTTCTAAGTGAGACTTCATCACAAGGCATCCTTGTTACGAATCTTCCGCAGAACGTATCCATACAGGCTGGAAAAGTATGCTGTCGTTCCCTTTCTGGCTACTCTGGTCTACTCTGGAACGATTTTTGCATATTTCTAAAATCCCCATCGTGATCTGAAGAAAAGAAGGCGATGAACAACTTTTTTTCAAGATTTACTCCCCATAGCAAAGTGAGGAATGTAAAGTACTGTAAACAAAATGACGAATTTCGGCTGGAATCTGGAGTCTTGGAAAATTATTCGGGCTCTTGTGCTGCTGACCTCAGTCGCACCGGAAATCGGAGCTTCTTCGGTAGAAGTAGACTACCTTGGACGATACCTTAAATGCTACTTAAATTCGAGGATAAACACAGTTTTACGGCAAAGCAGGTGTCAAACTTGGATCTATGGTAAGAATAAAAATGTCATGTTCGGAAGTGCTTTGATAACCATTTGGTTTCATTGGGAAAAATCAATAAATTTCTCTCCATCAAAACGTGTTTTTCGTACCGTTTAGTTCCACTCAACCATTGCAGGCTTATGAAACTCTTTTAAGCTTGTGGTTTGGTGTGTGCACACGGTTACTATCTTCTCCGTTAGTTTTCGTTAGCGTCGAGGTTTGGACTCATTTACAGATAACTTTTTCACTCGCAGCGAACAAAATCTGTCCAAAGATTCTCTTTTCTGGACAAACTAGTTCGAGTGAAATTTTGGTTTACCAAGCGATTGCAATCAACTCGTAATGACACCAGACACGAAAATACAGATACAGTGAAAGGTGCCTGTTAAAATGCAAGCTTTTGGAATGGTTATGGAAAACATACATTCAGCTACTTTATTGTTAGGTCCCCGCCAACACCTGCGAGGCTTATTAGGTCTAACAATGTTGTTCTGTGAACTTTTTGTCTTTGACTATATATATATATATATATATATATATATATATATATAGAGAGAGAGAGAGAGAGAGAGAGAGAGAGAGAGAGAGATATGCACTGTT